TGTATTTTACCCCCCGAACGCGATTTTTACTGGGGGACCACTCGAAAGCAATTGGGCTATTTTCAGGCTAGTTTTGAGTAGTAATTGGGCGGGTTTTGTAGCGAAAACCTGGCAACCCTGCACCAGACAGAGCTGTTGGCGATTCTTCCTATTGTGAAGTCATGCAATGTGAACACAGCAGCAACTGAATGCTACCCCAGATAGTCACGCAGTGTGAAAACAACGGCGATCCAACGAGTTTGAAAATCGTGCAGTGTGAACTCGGCATTACCACACTGTGATGCCCTGTCAGGCCGGAGTGACGAGACAAAAACATTAAAACCCATTATAAATGAGGCATTTGTTGCATCCAGTGGGGACATAATTACTGATTATAATGACTTATACTGTCTTTTTACGCGTTGCGTTGCATCGCGCCATGTAAACATAAAACCATGTCTGCATTTGTGATGCAGCATGACGCGAATTTCGTCATCAGAATAGTATGCACGTACTGTACGCGCAGGTCGCACATGTGCATTTAATAATTTTTTTTGCAGTAATCAGATGTTCCACAAGGTGGCAACACTGTCCTGGGCCATTGTTTCACAGTAGAAAATTAAACTAAAGAGACGGAACAACAACAACAAAATAGAGGAGACTGCAATAACAACAGATGGCTGCATTGACAAGCGCTTGTGAGTGAGAGGGTATGAGATAGCTCAGCTTTCTGGGCCATTGTTTCACAGTAGAAAATTAAACTAAAGAGACGGAACAACAACAACAAAATAGAGGAGACTGCAATAACAACAGACGGCTGCATTGACAAGCGCTTGTGAGCGAGAGGGTATGAGATAGCTCAGCTTTGGTTTAAAAGAGTTAAAAAATATTTGTTATCGGTCATAACTTATGGGGAAAAATAGAGCAGACACTATGGATGAAGCTTTCAATAGTGCATCTGTTGACCGCCTGCATTCGCGCACAACATAAGAGAGACATACATAGAGTATACGTTGAAAGGCTACGTGTTCGACTGTACACATACGCTAGCGTACACGCACAAAAAACAAAGTATACTTTGGGTGGTTTTTCTCACACTCTTCCAAACTGAAAATTTCCAAATTGTAGATTTTAAACAAAGATTGAAAGAGAGAAGCTTGATGGTGGTGACATTTAAGTCATGCGACTGTGATGTAGATTGTTTATAGCCAACCTTTAGCTGTTTCCTTCTGGCAATTGTATTTAGGCTTCAAAAATAATTTAAAAAGTTGTGTTCATTTTGTGAATATAATGTTGATGAACAAAACGTGTAAGAATTCTAAACTTGTGTTGGTCACAGAGCTTACTGCCTGCAATAACCCTACAAAATCATAGCAGCAGCACTCTATTCATTTTTAGTGAATCCCTCCTGCAAGTTTAGTTTGGCAATGGGCTGTTTATCTTACCGGTGATAGTTCTTAAAGTAGTTTACACTCTGTCTCTTAATGGACTCCTGCAACAACTCAGACTTGCTGCCGCAGAATTCCTCTCCCACTTGCATCAACCTGTCAGCAAGAAAAACAAAAAACAGTAGAAAAATTAAGTAGAAAGCAGTTCACTCTTCTAATTAACCCCAAATAGTTACTTCACATCACATGTACCAGCGAGGGCAGAAAATGGTGCCTCTATTCACACAAGTCAGTGACCCCAAGGCAGGATCAATACAGAGGGCTGCGGTTTCACACACTAAATGGCCTTTTAATTGAGCCCTGTTAATGGGGATGACCGCACCACCCCTCTTGTTGAGGAACAAGCGGTTTCATTGATGCCACCTGGCCCCATTTTCTCTTTAGGGGAGTTTCTCATGAGGCAGAAGGGATGGTGAGGGAAACGGTGAAGTTGGTCCCCGCAGGCCAATCCAATTAGCACTAATGAGGAAGTGGGTCCCTACCTGCTGATAACATCCAGAACCACAATGAAGTCGTCGTACTTGAAGTTGGACACGTCTGTTCCCAGCAAATAAGCTTTCACTTTCAATTGGACGTCCTGGGGGCAGAGAGAGGAGGACAAGAGGTGGGAGGGCGACTCATGAAGCTAATGGAGGAACGAAGAACAAAGTAAATGAGTGCACTCCCTACCTGCCAGATCCGCGTTAAGCCATGTTCCAGCTTCTTCTTCACATAGCTGCGGCCCACAGTGGATTCGTCTGAGCCCTCTGCGCTGGTATCATCTACAAACACAGGATTCACAGCACAGTTATTTTTAAAAGTACCTAATACTCCAGTATACTCATTATATCCCATCATGACAGGAGCCGAGGTTAGTCTGATACAGTTTGGTACACGATTTCATTATGTTGCGCATTATCTTCAACCAGGATCTTATGTTCTTATAAAATCTGACTCCAAAAATTTACTAAAATGATGAAATACTGACTAAATTTAAAGGACATTTTCATCAAAAGCATTAAAATTGATTAATACAGAAGTGGGTCCTACTTTGAAGCTCACGTGGCTCACGTCAATAAGGACCACATGGAACCAGGTACCAATAATAGAACGTAAAATTAAATTTCACAGTTGTTTGCAACTCCAGTGAATGTCAGATACACAATGACACAAAACCAGCCTAACTGTGTTCAGTATTAATGCTATTCAGTCAAGAGAAGACGGTAGTTTCTCTGTCAGATTTGTTGTTTGATTAACATCCAGACAAAAAAAATTATATGTTGAAAATTATTTATAAAACTTTTATATAGTATATAATAGGGATGCACCGATACCGATACTGGTATTGGTATCGGGCCCGATACTGGTCTCCTGTACTCGTACTCGTACTCGTTAAAATGCCCCGATACCAAACGCCGATACCACACAGCATGTGATAAGCGCCATTTTCAAACAAAGAAACACCGACAACAGAACAACAGACAGCAGAAAGGAGTTAAGGATGTCTACTACGAAGTATATGTATGCAATGAATATAATGTTAAACATTCAGTATTAACGTCTGTATAGCTGATGTGCGCGAGCTGATAAACAAAGCACGCTGAGTGGATTGAGCGCACCGGCGGCGCAGATGCACGAGCTTGT